AATAAGGATAACCCCACCCCCTGGGCTGCCACGGACCCTGCAAAAGGAGCTGTGGCCTCTCTGCCCAGCTCTGGGGGGCCACAGTTTGCTGGTCTGCGGCCACTTCCAATCTGGCAGCCAACCGTGCTGTGGACCAGCAGCTGACCCACCGCAGCCCAACACTGGGCTGTAGCCTAGCGATTGAGAATTCCTGTATTAGAGGCTTATTTTTTTGAAATTTTAAAAATCTCCTTTGTGTTTTCCATTGAAATAAGCCACCATGGATTCTCTTTTAACCTTCTGAATTACAAACAACATCATGAGGGCAGATACTGAAGCCAGCCATTCCATTCCTCTTATCAGGAGTTAGCGCAATTAATTGTTGCCATATATATAATACCGTTGTTGGTAAAATTTACCCCTTCCTACTAACTATTTCCATCTGAACACCTACACTTACCCTTAAATGCATAGATTTACCCTTCAGATCACTACCAAAGCTAATGCAAAACTAGTTATAGCCTAAATAAACCACCTGGGATTTTAGCAATCTGTCTGCATCATTCCAAACACATTTCGAACAGAAAATTAAACAATATGTGAAAGCCATGGATCCATCATGATCATGGATCATGACAATCCAGCCCCAGGTACACAAGGCATATGTGGATGTTTCACATATACTCTCTGTTTGTCCTGGATTTGCAAAAGTGAGATGTTTATGACATATAACATGGTAGTAAAAAAATAGTCTGGTATCAGAGACTCCCCCGGCCTTATGATTTATAATATTATTTTATGCTATCCACATTCTTCATAAATATTCCTTTTCATTTAATCAAATAAATCAAATCAATAAATACTACTAGTACTTTGTACTTATTTAGATCTTTCATCCAGGCTCTTAGTGTGCTTTGCCAACAGCTAAGACAATAACTTGGTGTAGGGAGATAAGAGAACAACACGCTGCCGAAAGAGTTCAGGTAACAAATTTGTATATGTCCCTCCTATTAAAAAAAGATTTTCCTGATTCATCACAGTGTACAAGATTTTATAAAATATAAACTATATTAAGTACAGGCCAAATAATTACAATGCTCTGAATCAAAGATAACTGCATTGAAGACAATGGAATGACACTGTTATAAAAGCAGCGCATGTGGGATTACAGTCATGCCTTGTGTCTGTAATTCCATTATGGCCACTACAGAAAGAAAAAAGAAAATAGAAAAAGCTCTCAGCAACTTTCTGTCACAAGAATGTCTTGAGGAGCACCAGCTGAAGGGTACAGAAAAAAGTTCATACTTAGGATATTACAAGATAAAATATTTTCCTTAGCAACAAAGTATTTATTCATTTAATATAACTGAAGATGAAGCAGAAAGAAATGGCAGGATGTCATTTCTGCTTGTATTTTAGTGGCATCTTGTACAATCACAATTCAACAGATCGGTTTGATCCTAGGTGACTTCTTCCTCTTTACCTTCTCTTCTGGTTATCTTATCCTTTCAACGTGGCACCTACATTTCCACTACAACCTTTTAAGCCAATATTTACAAACCTGCTTCTTCACTCCTGCCTTTTATGCTATTATCTAATCTTTAAACCATGGCCTAAGGTCACCTCCCACCTTGGTTCTCCCACTGCCAGATTAAATATAACACGGCTAGCTAAAACTGAGCTTCCAGCCTTCCTTTCCAAACCTTCCTCCACCTCTCTTGAAGGATCTGAGCACAGAGGTATGTATGCATTTGTGGACACCCCCCTACTTCCTAGTACTGCCATTTTTTAGTAGTAGCATTTATCCAGGGAGCTGCCTACTGCAGTGGCCCAAAAAACCATGGCTGGAAAGGATTAAAAATGAGAAAACTGAGGCCTACTCCTAATCTAATGCTTTAATCAATTCTAGCAACTGGAAATCATATCCACAAAGAGGCAGGGTAGCTCTTAAAACAAACTCACCTAACAGCACGAAAGAGATGATGGGGCAGAGTCTGAATTACCTCTTCCTTTTGGAAACACTGGTCTTTTGTGTCAGAGTTTGTGTTACTTAATCTTCTTGTGACAGGAACGAGATTTCCCCTGTGTGACATCCACTGCCAGCAATGGATGCACAGAAATTTCTAATGCCAAAGAATTAATGTACTGATCTGCATAATCAAATCCCCTAGATAAACACAGTCATTTTTCCCCCCAGTATTATTAGTCTCTAGGATTTCATATGTACTTCTATTTATCCAAAATTCATGAACATGTAATACTTAATAATAGTTTTACAATGAAGGCATCTTAAAGTAGCCATGAAAACCTTCACTGCAGGAAATTTTATAAAACAGAAGTAATCAGTTTTTCTTTTGACCTGTGTGTAAACCAGGAGGAAAATCAACACAGTGCAATCAGTATTATACACAAAACATGCTCTGCACTCAAATTTAAATCACTTATACTGCTTTTTTCTTAATGATAACACTTTGAATTATATTATCCTCTTGTTTATATATAAAGAAACCAAACAGATTGTAAAGGCTTTGTTTAAAGTTGAATGCACTAAAAGACTGGTGAGTCATGATATTAAAAAGCATTTCTATTCACTGGCACAAGATTCCTGCACCATTTAAATTAAACCTGTTTGGTATGCTAAGAGATGTGTATATAGTTTAACAAGCATGTTTAAGTTTAAGCAAAAGAGTAGAGCCATGGCTCATCAAAGAATACCCTTGAAACAAGTTACTGCTGATAATAATAATCATGGTTACTGTAGAACAAGGACATGTGATTTTTCTTCCTTCCACTCTTCTTTTGCAGGGTTTTTTTAATTTTATATTTGTAAATGTATTTAATTCCATCAATAATTTTAGTATGTAACTGCATGAATGTATAATTAAACATTATATAAAATACATTATAAACACTCAGGGGTTAGCAACCTATGGCCCGCAGAACCTTTGACCCCAGCCTGCAGACATGGGGTTTGGGCAGCGTTCGGTGTCAAGGATGCTCTTTCTGTGCTGCCATGGGGATGAATGCCAGAGGCAGGTGTTTTCCCTTTGTGCCATGGGGAGAAGTGCCAGCTGCGGACTCTTTCCTCATACCGCTGGGAAGACAAGCGGTGGCTGTGGCAGGGCACTAGTGCCTGCCTGCCTCTGACTCCAGGTGGGGTGTTCCAGCTCACAGCCAGAAAAGGTTGCCTACCCTTGCATAAAATAGGAAATGGAGGGTGACAGATCCAGAAGTATGAAAGTGAATTATTAGTACCAGTCCCATTGACTCTGAATGGTACTTGTGCACCTACACTACCACAGCAGATTTAACTTCCCTTTTCAAAATTTCTTCTGTAAATGACTTGGGCATTCTGAAAAATTCCACTTTTATTCCTAAGCCACGTGTGTACTTTTTGGAATTTATAAATGTTTATAAGGAACATAAAATTAGTCAATTCTGATTCTCTAATGAATTTTAAATAAACCAAATAATTAGAAAATAAGAACAACCTATACGGAGAATGGCCTGTATTAACTGACAAAGGATCTGGGACTCTATTCAAAAACATCTGGCTCATATATCCTGCCTGAGAACAACCATGTGTGGCTCAAGGAAAACTATAATGTCATCTTCACTGGTTTGGAGAGAGCCGTGGATCTCATTGTAAATGGAGGCGTCAACCTGAATATGGCTCTCTTTAACCATTCAACCAAACCATTCAAATAATTTTATGGCCCTTGGCCCTAATTCAGAAATGTACTTAGGAACAAACTTAGTGCTTTCATCAACAGGGATGGACACAAGTAAGTGCATTTCTGAAAGAGTATAATTTATTGAGGTGGTACTCCAAAAGGTAGACATAATGCTTTCCCAGTCTAACACAGTTAAGTAAAATTATTAGGAAATACCTTTCTTAAAATCTTAAAAATAAATTAGACTTATACAGGAAATATCTAGTTAGAGGATGAGTTAATTTCTGATGTCTCCAATTTTTAATTTTATTTTTCTATGCAAAATAAAAATGAATTTTCTGAAACCAGTGCAGAGAAGGAGTATTTGACCACTTAGTCTTTTCTTCTGCCAATGCATGTTCCTTTTCTTCAATATATTCCTCAGCACTCAGTGCAGTCTAGCTGTGAACAACTCAAATAACAAGCTTGCAATCATCTCCTTTGACAAGCTATACAAGGGCCCAATTTTTGCCTTCAGGTACATGTGGTGATTTCTGTAAGAGCTGCACGTGATTTCATGCAGGCCAAACTAATGTCACCCAGGCCAGATTCTTTCCTCACGTGCCCTTTGAGTCAGTGGCAATTACATGCGTATAGCTAAGGGCAGAATTTGTTCCCTAAAAGAAGCTTCTCAGCATAAATAAACTTTAATTTAATTTCCACCACCAAAGTCAGATTTTCTGGCTCAAGCTGAAGTGCTGCTGGCATCTTGTGCCTAATTGGAATGGTAGGAGGGAAAAATAGGGGACAGAAATGTAATTTCATAATAATGGAATAGGCCAAGGCAAAATATGCTAGAAAATTTCTGATTGTTTGAGAATGGCAAGTGAGACGGGGAGATTGATCATTTTATGTCTCGATCCTCAATGGCTTCCTTTCACAAAAGGCCCCAAATTGCTGTAACATATTCATGTAATATATTAATAGTACAACCAAGATGAAAAAGGTAAAAACAGCGATTTTCTTCTCATAGAAACTCACGCTTTGTTCACAACCAGGTGCATTATTATAAAATTATGATGAGAGATTTTACCCTAGGATAAAGACCATTTATCATACTGAAGAAGCATTTCAAAAAGTAAGCTATTTCTCAGTTACACTTTTCTCTCAACACAACATGCAGTCAGTTTGGCAGTGTACACTTGCAGGTTCAACAGCATCAAAGTATAGATAACTGATATTTTTCTAATGTGTGACATCTATCAGCTGTCATTTTGTGCTTGTTGACATTTTAGCAAGAAGAAAAACATTATATAATTGCACTGAATATAAATTGAACAGATTCAACTTTCGGAGACCTCTCCTTACCTGGAGGAGGAGGTCAGAAGCTGGTTTGACTCTTTGTTGGAAAAGTACACTTAGCGTCTGATTCTGTTGCTCCAAATCAAAAACTCTTGTTTTCAGCTTTATGCATTCCTCCCTTAGATCCTACAGGGGAGTAGAAACAAGGAAGATTAGAAAAAAAATCTAACAGAAACATTTGAAATCTCTCTTAGAATATGGCACATAAAGAAAAGGCAAATAGACAATTTATGAAATAGCAAAATAAATGGGAAAAAATATGCCATACCATTTCTCCAGATTGTTTGATCTTCAAAGGATATTTTTAAAACTTTGAAATCAAAAATATTAGTCACAATATGCATCCTTCTGCAGTGCTGTCTCAATCTAAAAAGGGACTTTGCCAGCAGTGTGTTTTATTGTATCAACATGACTGCAAAATCTGTCAAAAAAAATATAAATCTGCTGGAAAACTTGGGCAACAAGATAGGCCATGTAAGCTACACCACACAAGGGGTAGTCTGGTGCACCCTGGAGGCATTCATGTGCTGTCTGACCCGCTTTGTTTGCTCCGGAGTAGTACCATGACACCGTTGTTGCCAGCTCAATAGCATTGACAGCTACACTGGGGGTGGTGCATTTCTTCCCTGCCCACTGTCTCTGAGCTTGCCACATTTGAGGTGGCTAAGCTGCAAATATGAATTCAGTGAGGTTGTTACAGTCTTGTCTGGGGAAATCCATCTTAGTGTGAATCTAAATGAGAGCTACCCCTTGTACCATGTTCTAGGGTGGGTCATCAGAAGTAGAGATTGTATATGAGACCTCTGGATCACAAAGCACGAACAGTCACTGCCTGAGTGAAAAGGCTCAGGGCGTTTAGCTAAAGTCCCTACAGATTCACAACCTTCTACTTATTGCTTAGAGAAAGTTCAGAGCACCACATTGTTATGATACACCCATTCCTAAAGTCTTCATTGCTTGTATTGGGTTAATTCCCCTCCCACATAAGCTGGGTCACAGTCCAAAGCAGAGAAATCAAATAATCTATAAAATTAAGCCTGTTTTGGTTTGCATTTCCCCAGCCTGATACAATACACCCTGCAATATCTCAGTTAGATCTGATGATGCAGTCTTGTAACTGCAGGAACTCACTGCAACTTGTTAAGAAAAGAGCTGCCCAAGCACAAAAATTTGTTCCTAATAATACAATGGGAAATGTACTCTGGTATCTTCCATGGAGGGGGAAGCCGCAATGGGGTAACTTTAATTTACCAAAGAGTAAGAGCAGGCCCAGGCTGCAATTCACTGTCCTCACATTAAACTGTTACCGTGCCTATGCCATAAAGTTTACTGAACATCGTTTATCATTGCCGTAAGTAGGACCCCATTGCTTTGGCAATAAAGCATGTGAGACTGAGCAGATGAGTTGTCCAACATAAATTAAGCAAGTGCTAAAGAAATCTGCTGGGTCTAGGGCTAAATGTCTATCCAAATATTTGGGGGGGGGGGTTGCAACCACTATGGTGCTTGCTAGCCAAAAAATAATCCAAATAAAGCTTTCTACTTGAGCCATAATTGATGTAAAAGATCAACGTTTTATGTTCTGCTACCACACATGCTGCCCAGACAGCATAAGGACTGCAAAGTCACTAGCTAATGCTTATTCTGAGAGCTGCTGTGGCATCTCTGGTAGCACTGGTACGCAGGCCGTGAAATAAACATAAGCTCAGCCATGCTGATACATATTCCATCAGGGTCAAAAAGGAAGGGGAAGTAAGAAACCAACATTTCCCCAATAAAAATGACAAAAGTAATGTGCAGAGAAACTTTAATAGCAATTTTCTAAGTGCGTTTTACAAATAATAGAAAACTAAATGATATTCTACTTCAAAAAAAAAAAAGCCTTTGGTATTGCCTGCAATAACTTCACTGCTCCATATCGCTCCACCTTCTGTACCAGGTGCTACATTTCCTTTTAACTTCTTTTGTTCCAATGAAATTTAGAACTGTTCAGTTCCCGGTACTTGGAACTGGTGTATATTTGGGCCATGCAAGTACACAAGCAACGGGGAACAGGGCAGAAGCAATTATGCTGGATATATCACACCGTATTTATTTTCTCACTTCTGTATGGTAGACCTGAGGTGTTTGTGAGTGCATCTTGACAAAGCAACTTCTAATCATTAGGCCATAAACTGGCCCCTACGAATAGCTGGCCTGAAAGTATATTTGACTGCCAATTTCTGATGAAGGCATAAGACTTGTTTTAACTGGCCATTTGAAGGAAAGCAGGCTTCTGCTCTACAGTGGACTTCAAAAGGATTCAGAGTAGAATTTGATTCACGATAACTGTACAGAATCATATGATGCAAGTGCTAGTTTACCTTGCTGGACAGGAGACCTGTGTTATAAAAATGTACCTGCAAAAATTAAGAAGTGGGTAAATTTAGAATGTGTACGGACATTCACTTTCCCAGGAGAAACTCTCCTGGGAGTGATTTAAACCTGGTTGTGCCCTGGTTATTTTTCTCTTGGAGTGGCCATTTTTGCTCTGGGAGAAAAATCCTGCACATCTCTACACTCATGGTTTCTCTGGGGAGAGCAGTGACTGTCTCAGGAGAAATTGAATGTCTGTATATGGTTTTAGTGGTGCTTGTATAAACAGATAGTCCATGTGTACATTTATTGCCTCTCAAAAAGGTAACCACTTTGCTCTGTTCCCTAAAATTAGAACAGTTGCTATCCTTTGATACTGCCTGACTTTATTTTCATCAACTGAAAGTGGAGAAACAGGCCTTTGGCTTCCCATATGTTTGCCTGTCAAGAGGATTAACAATATATTGACCCAATAGAAGTACACAGACCTGGTAAGATGATTCAAGAGTGAGAAGTAATAGCCAGAAGTAACCAAGGTGTTTGCCTGCAGCCGTGCCCGTTCTTAGCAAGTGTGCTGTAGTTAGCACAGAGAATACGAAAGAGGTGATGACAATGAACCAACTTGTCCAGAGACTACTGGAAACATTTTGAAGTATCTTTGGTTACAAAGGTACCAGTGGATGAAGTAAATTATTTTTCTGGGCAAAGTAGTAGGGTAGTGCTTATTTTAAATAGGCCTCAGGCTGCCCACATTACTTATTCAGTGCCTTCTAAAGTGACAAGGAGGCGATGATATCTTTTATTTGAAATGGAGAGAAATCCTAAACCTTTAATTTTGTAAGTGAAAACTCATACAGTGCTAATAACTCTCTTATCTATGACCTCACATGGGGCAGTGTGGCATAGGCTCATTCAGGGAAGGACAAGCATGCAGATTCATTTATAAAACTCTCATAAAAAATCAAAGAATTTAAAACAGAGCCTTGGCTGTAACTGTGAAGTATAAAGATGCAACTGTACTGGGTGCAGTGAAGAGGAAAAATGATTCACAGAAACCGACAGTTTAAAACAATGCTGTAGCCTTAACAATGCCTCTGCTCAAACTTTTTCTTTTAAGTTTTAAACTTCGAAGTTTTATGCAGCTTAACATTTTGGCTCTCTGCTGAAGAATAAGTGCACAATTGAAGATGGCAGATTGCTATCCAAGATACTGTAAACTATGCCAGACCTAGTGACATTTGCAGAAAAAACTGAAGAAAAGCAAGAATAAAAAATTAACATAAGAATATGTATGTACCTGGTTTTATTATATTAAAATTATATAGCAATTACTTAATATGGTACCTCAAGTTATCTTCAGGAACTCATTATCTGAATTCCAGAGAGCAGAACTAATGGAAATTAAGAAGGCAATACCAGAGGTATCAGCCTCAGGTATTTTTATAGTAATCATTTCATAGATTTCATAGACATTCAAGCTGGAAGGGATCCCGGACAATTATCAAGTCCAGCCCCCTACCCCAGGGGCAGGAAGTAATCCCAGCAAGATAAACATCCAAATATGTCTTGAAGGTGTTCAAAGGGGGGTGCCTGAACCACCTCCAGCGGCAGTCTATTCCAAACTTTGGGGGCTCGGACAGTAAAGAAGTTCTTCCTTATGTCCAACCTGAATCTGACACGGAGGAGTTTGTGACCATTTGATCTTGTCATCTCTTGGGGTGCTCTG